TCTATGCGAACTCGGCACAGGTTGCTTCCTTTTCTGCCCTATGGCCGTCCTGGAGAAACTCATCCACCAGCATCATGCCCATGGGTGACCAAAAGAGTTAGCTAACCGGACCACTTTCCTTACAGAGCACCCAGGTTTGTAATAAATTAACAAGGAGATTTCTCAGAGCTCTTCTCCCCTGTGACCCAGATAGGCTTCCGGGAATGCTCTAGAGCTTTCTAACATCCAATCAAAAGACGATTGCATAGATACTTCTGGCTGGCAGTTTTCTCTAGATCTTGTGCCAAACATTTCAGAGATTTGCAGTGGTCTCAGGGAAACCAGACTGGCTAGGAGGAGGATATGAGAGACTCCCAAATCAGGGTCAAGCTGAATGGCAGAAAATAGAAGTGGAAGGTTTGGAGATGGAGGAAGTTGGTGGGATGTTTGCTGAGCGTGTGCTGTAAAGGGAAGCCTTTTCCTTGAGAGAAGCCTTCCTGCCAGCCTGGTTCCAGAGCCGCATCAGTCCCAAATAAACACACAGGAGGCTATATTAATTATGAAGCTGTTGGCCTTGCTTGTTTCTTACTGGCTAGCTCTGACTTAAGTAATTACCCCATAATTGTTAATCTAAGTATGTCTCTTACTGGAGAACTTTCCGGGCTTCCTACCCCATGGCGTTATATCTTGACTCTTTGTGTTCCTCCTTCCCAGTTCTCCTGGACTCCTAGTCCCACCTATCTTGGTTCGCTATTGGCCCAACAGTGCTTTATTGACATATACATAGGACTTCTCCCATCATCTCCTCTTTTCTGTCTAAACAAAAAGAAAGGTCTTAACTTTAACATAGTCAAATTATATATAAAAGAACAGTTAACAAGTAAGAACATAGTTACAATATTTTGTCTATCAACATTTAGCAAGATTTAAAGAAAATATCATCTATCTCATTCTTGTGAGTCCAAAGTCCTATATGTAGCTTATGTTTTATCATAACTAAGGAAAACTATAATTATAACTATCTGTCTTCAACTCCATCAAAGACCACAGAATAATATATAAACACTAGGATTGACAGAGACATCTTACTGCCTGGACAGTCACCTGAAGTTCCTCTGTAACATTGGGGCATCCATCGTCAGCCCATAGGCCACAATGTGTCCAGAAGATTTCTCAGCAAAGCAGGAAATTTCAAACTGTCCATCTGCATTGGCAGTCTGTCAGTCATTTTTCTTTGTCCCGCAGAAAGTCTCGTAGACTCTTCCATGAAGCAGGAACCCTGTAAGACTGAGTTTAGCAGTCACTTTCCTATGGGTCCTGCATGTCCAGTTTATATAGCAACAGTCAAACAGTCTAGGCAAGAGCAGTTTCTTGCCCAAATGGCTAATCTTGCCATGTTGAAAGCAAACTCCATAACGAGTTTCTTTGATGCCTATCTTCCTCTCAGACATAATTGGTGCAGCCAGGAGCAAACATTTCTCATTGTCAAGAAAAACCCTAACCCAATTTAAATGCCATTTTCTGAAGGTCTTTGAGAGGTTTGAAGACTGTTTATCTATCTCAAATATATTTCTGTATATCTAGAAAACCTAACTTACCTAACTATAAATTCTGACTATTATAAGTAGCTATCTATAGTCTATATTTAATTATGCATTTATTACATTTTAAAAGATCAGTATAAGCACAATACTTAATCAAGAGGAGAAATATACACATCACAAAACTGACCTTGAATTTGTACCAATAAATGAAAAACCATACCCATACCATAATTCCCCTTTTTACCATTAAAAAAAGATTGGCTGTGATCATTAACCAATTATAAACAATCCCATATAAATGAAAACAAAGGTTTATAAATAAAATGGGAATTAGGACGTCGCTCATTCCAACTGCTTCATGCTGGAAGGGGGCGCTGTTTATACCATGGGAATCATGACAAAACTCAGAAACCTGTATAAGTCCTTATTTTCGGGGTCGGTAAGACTGCATCATCTTAGCTGTCTCAATTGTTGAAATACCTGGCCCACTGCTTCCGGGGGTCTTGGTGCATCAAACTACAGAAGCCTGGAAGGAATCCTCAGCTTTTCATTTTCTGTAGAAACATAAATGAAAACTCCTTTCCCAAGTAATGTATCCTTGTACTTAAATTTTGAAGTCAAGGCATTTTCAAAAGATATAAGTTGAATTAATTCAGCAGCATTTATAATCAAGTGTATTTTAGTAGTTGTTCCTTCCTGAGCAATCAAAAAACTGAAAACCACAATAGCATACAGTATCCAGACTCTCTGTATATTTTCCATCTTTGCGTGGCTTATTTATTTATCTATTATTACTTTATTTCTTTTACTTTGATTTATTTTTCTCTGAGACAGGGTTTCTCTTTGGAAACCTGCCTGCCTCTGCCTCTGCAGCAAATCCTACCTGCGTGTGCCACCACAGCCAGCTTCTCTATTTACCACCATGCCTTTTCGTTTTCTCTCTCAATCTTACGTATATTTTTAAACACACTGTAAACCTTTAGAAGTTTTTCTTCATCCAAGTCTGACTTTACTGTAAATCTTTATGTTTTTCTGGTCATGTGTCTCATCTGTAAAACCGCGGCTGTTTTAAACTGCCTTCCAAGATGGCGGGTATAAGCGTGACTCCAGCTGCCGGCTTGGAGATGTGGTCACTGCCACTTCCAGCTGTATGTACAACTTTTAAATCGTTAGCAAAGCCTCTTAAAAGAACCTTGCTGGCCTCCGAAAAAATACAGAGAAACCCTGTCTCGTAAAAAACAAAAATAAAAAAAATATTAAAAAAAGAACCTTGCTGGTCTTTTTTGTTTTTTGTTTTTTGTTTTTTTATGCTGAGTCAGGATGACTGCCTTAAGCAAGCTTCGAGTATCTGCTTGCCGCTAGCAAAACAGAGCCCACCTGAGAAAATGCTGCTACCAAAAATCTGTGCTTCCCTTCGTTCTTCTGTTTCTAAAATTCTTTTAAAGCTTTTGTCATTCTACGTGGAAATTCATCATCCCACTCCTGACACCAAACTAATGCTGCAACGATAAACAGTACACTTACTGAAAGTAAAACTAAGTATTTATTGTAGACCAAGACTTCTGTTGTTCAATCTTTTATACCTTCCCCCGTAACGCCCCCTAGCCATGCCCAAAAGTGGGCCTGGCTAGTGACATAGTTTACCACCTAAGTCCATATACGTCTTTAGTCATGTCTACTGAGATTTTGTTACACTAACATTTTTCTTCTCACAGGTCCCCATGAGATTATCATTGTCCCATCTCAGGAGGAAGTAGTTTTGAGAATTCCACACCCCCTCTCCCTACTATTTACACCTGTTAGTGTTAGTTTTCAATTATTTTAGAGTTGGGATTGGAAGGAGGTGTTCAGATTTGGGTGTTTCTTTCAGATAAGTTTAGGTTTAGATGGGATAGATGTTTGATACATTTTGTTCATTGACACAAGTTAGTTGTTTTAAGTTTAAATATCCTTTTTAGACTAAAAGGGGAATTGTAGGAGGAAAACAATGCCACCATTAACCATGTGACTTACTAGAGGCGCATACAGATGAGGTAATAAAAGAGCAGTTTACCACACCACTAACCACACCCACTTTAGGCATGACTAAAGACGTATACGGACGTAGGCAGTGAACTACGTCACTAGCCAGGCCCACTTTTGGGCATGGCTAGGGGGCGTTACAGGGGAAGGTATAAAAGATTGAACAACGGAAGTCTTGGTCTCTTTTTCCGGCTTTCGGCTTCCAGTTCGGCGGCAGAAAACTACTCGATTCATGTGGGTTACTTGTTTGGTATCTTGTGAGTAATTTCTACAATAAATACTTAGTTTTACTTCCAGTAAGTGTGCTGTTTATTGTTGCAACATCAGTGTGCAAAGGCCTGAGTTTATTTTCAGCACTCAGTAAAATTGGTGCACACTGAAGAGGCAGGGGGACCAGGAGTTCAAGGTCACTCTCTGCTACATAGCAAGTTTAAGGCAAGCCTAAAGACATGAGCCTCTACCAAAAGCAACCAAAAATACATAAATGAAAGCAAGCAAGCAAAGATGTAATTCTCCACTGCCCTAGCTTGACTGGTTTTTTGTTTGTTTGTTTTGTTTTGTTTTGTTTTGTTTTTAAAGACTGGTAGCTAATCTAGGTGCAGGCCTTTAATCCCAGCACTCCAGAAGCAGAGGCAGGTAGGTCTCTGTGAGTTTGAGAACAGCCAGGGCTACGTAGAGAGATCCTATCTCAAAAAGTTAAAAAAATAAAAAAAGAGACTGGTAGCTAACTGCCCAGGAAAAATGAGTAAGCATGGAGTCTAACAGTCAGTGGAAGTCCCTGGGCAGACTTTCCTCTTTGTAGTAGATTGGTTCGTTCACCTGTGAAGAGGACTCTAGGGCTGGTATTTGAATAGGAAGTAAGAGCAAACCTACAGGAAATCAAACTGTGAATAAAGGAGAATTAAAATAAAAATTGACAGCGTAGTTCACAGAATCAGAGCTGTGGCTCAGCTGTCTGGAAGTCACTGCTATCATACGCTTTGGACACGAGACATGAAAAATTGCCTAGCTGGGTCTTGGCAGAGGGCTTGCGAGAAGCACATTTGTCTGCACTTTGTCGGGCCTGTGACATTGGGAAGGCAAGGGGCTGGTGAGAATGTTGACAGGCTGATAAGTTTCTTTGGAAACAGCCTGTGAGGGCTGCCAGGAATGCAAGGCTTTCTGGTTCCCCAGCTCGATCCCCCATGTTGTACAAGCACAGCAATGCAATTTTAAAATAGCTCTTAGACAAAGGCTGCCTCACTTGACATCAGGGACTCAGCCCTTACCCTGCCTCTGTAACTAACGGGAGTACAAAGAATGCTTAACTTCTCCAGATTCTGTGTTTAGGTTGGGCTGTGGAGCGAAAGGAATTGGTTTCTTGGTAGGCTTAGGGCTGAGAAGGAGGAAATGCTTAGTCAGCGCTTCTCCTAAGGTCTTAGCTTGTTTCTTTTAATGAGCTCTAAAATGCTATGCTCATCACCACAAATGTAGGTTTATTTATTTAAAAAAAAAGGGGGTTTTCACACATGTAGCTTACGGTCTTCCAGTCATAGTAACTCTGGTGTGTAATTGACTCCAAATTCAATGACCTTCAGGTGTCCTTGACAGTCACATGAAGACAGAAGCAGGGACTAAAGTTTTGCAGCATCAAATACATGGAGTCCTGAGATGATCCCGGGGACTGGAAGGTATTGTGGCTTGAATGTGAATTGTCCCCCACAGGCTCTCTTGTCTGAACACTTGGTCTCCAGATCATTGAGCTGCTCATGAAGGTTTGAAACCTTTAGGAGGTGGAGCTGCAATGGAAAAAGAGAGTTCCTGGGGGTGGGCCTTGAGGTTGGGTAGCACAGTCCCACCTCCTAACTTAAGTCATATGAGACTTTGTTTTTTTCATGATTTGTATTTGGTAACTTGATCACAGGTTCTCAAGTGGGAACTTTGCAGAAAGAGAAATTATGTTCTGTTGCAATGTCAAAAGCTTGGAAATGCCTGTATGGCTGTCATTCTAGTCTGAACACAGTGGAATCAGACACAAGTTTTTGTGGCTTGTATATTGATCATGTGGTCTTTGAGGTTCACCATACTCTGACTGTTGGCATTCCATTATCTTTCTTTCCCCACCCCTCCCTGTTGGCTTTATTGTGAGGATGTACCACAGTGTGTTTATCCATTTACCCAAGAGGATAACTGGAGCACGTCTACCTCTTTGTTTCTGGGTGTTTGGTTGGTTGGTTTTGGTTTTTCAGGACAAGGTTTCTCTGTGTAGTCCTGGCTGTCCTCGAACTCACGGAGATCCACCTGTCTCTGCCTCCTGAGTGCTGGGATTAAAGGTGTGTGTTACTACCACCCAGCTGCCCATCTTCTACCTCTTAGCTGCCGTGAATACAGTTGCTGCAAACATGGGTGTGCATGGGAGTTGAATATTTTATTCTTTTGTCAATGGAGTTCTTATGCTCATGTCTCATTCAGAACTAAAATAATATAATTATTAGTTATTAATAGCCTCAAAGAGACTCCCAGGGTCATAAATCAACTCTGCTAGTGAGTTTTTCTACTATCCTGCTCCTTTAAAGCCCCTTTCAAAGCAACCCCCTATGCACATTGGTGGTTTCAACACCTGTTTTCCTGTTTACACTAATAAGTACAATCTCTATCTCTTTGCCAAAGGGTGCTTCAATTCATACTTCTGGGATAGAGTTGATTTCTGCCTTCCACTTTAGATATCTACATTCCAAAGTAAAGACTAGTGTTTTAAGACAGACATTGTGTCCCAGAACTTCTCCATCTAGGTTATCCTGGCAGATTCCAAGTGGGATTCTATAAGGAAGGCTGTATTCTTCATGTTTTCATTTCAGGGCATGCCTCTGCTACTTCCCTTAGTCCTGAAACAGAGACTTAAGGGCATATATTCTCCCCCTAATGTGTTCAGTAGGGCTTGTATACACAAGCTTACCTGTCATTTTGGTTTCTAAAAGTAGTCAATTCTGTTTAAAGGTTAAAGCCTGTTGTTTATGTGAGACAGATGGGTTCAGGCCATGGAGAATTTCAGACCAATTAAACCACAGCAGAGAACAGGAAGGGTACAGAGGTCATGATGTGGGGACAGAGATCAGTCCTTTTATTCTGTCACTATGTCTAAACCTTCCCAGATGTCATATTCAAAAAAGTAACGGAGCCTAGTATGGTGGCACATACCTATAGTCCTAGCACTCTGGAAACAGAGACAGGGAGGGGATCATGAGCTTGAGACTAACATATCTGCCACCTCAAAAAGACCAAATGCACATGTGTGTGAGTATACAAAAAAAACCAGAAGGCCCACTTGAACGTGTCATTCAAGAGTATTCACTCCCTGTCCCATTGTTCTGTCACATATGTTTGGTTCGCCATATAATCACTCTGTGCCTCAGTTTCCTAGTTTTCAATAAAGGTTTAATAGCAATAACTATATTGTCATTCTGATTATTAATTGGCATCTATAGATGTTGAAAGGAATAACTTGCACACATTCAGCTTTCTTTGTATCAGCAGATCACAAATAGGAAAGAAAAGACTGCATATTCTCTGCATGTGACCGTACCATGAACTCCCCCAACACACACTACACACACACACAAGCCAGACCACACACACAACACATACACACAGCACACACCATACCACACACAGAACACACACCATACACAAACAACACCATACCACACCACACACCACACACTACACATACACACACATTGCCAGTGGTGGCCTGCAGAGAATTAGGAGCAAGGCTAAAACCATTGAGGACTTGGAAGTATGTATAGCTTAAGAATGGCAGTTTTTACATTTTTCCCTGAGTGTTTAGTGGTGCCAATGTGTGAAACAAAGGCCTGCTAAGGAGGAGGCTGTGTCTTATACCAGGCCCCAAATGGGTGCACCAAGTGGAACCCCAGTGAAATGAATGTCTCTGCTTCCACAGGCTTCTTGCCTCCTTTCCTGGCCATTTCTTCTGACTCCTTTCATGCTTCCTTCCTGCCAGACCCTCCCACTGATCCTCAAGGAATACCCAGGGCCTGGCCTGCCCTTATCTTTTACATAAACAGTCTTTGACTTTTATGGATCATAAAACTGCTTGCAGATATCCAATTTAGCACAACCTACTTCCATTAACAGCATCATTTAACACTTCCTTCACACTACAGGGATCTAAAAGGTTTAGTAGCCCAAAGAGAACCCAAACAAACCCAAAGAGTCTTCATGAGGAAGAGGCTGTAAATCAGAGGTTTATGTTCCCATGTAGGAAAACTGATACCTTTTGAAAATGACAACAGTAGTTTTCTGAGTGTCACCACAGGATAACTGTATAAATGGGATGTTTCTCTGTTGTCTAAGTGCTTCCCATGAATCTACTGATATTTTAATTATTCTCTATGGCCCCATGGCCCCACACGCAATGCCTGTACAGGGCCACTCAGGCCAGGGCCTGGAGGACTTTCTGGTCCTGCATCCTGGCTCTGCCAATGGCCATGATATGTAGGTTTAAACTAAGTTTCTATCATTCTATTTATTAACAAAGACTCAGAAGTCAGATGTGGTGGGTGAAAACGTGCTAGAACAGAGAGGCTGAGAAGAAACCAGCTGACCTTGTTTTTTGGCTGGAGACCTAGCCAAAACCAAAACCAACAGAAAGCCAAACTCAAGTTTTCTCCCTTTTCTTCCTGTGTGCCTTCTCTATCCAAATTGATTGCTTCTCTATGACCAATTCTAGTCACCTAGCTACTAGCTCTGTCCCTGATTCAAGGTAAACTATTTAATAGTCTCAGAGTGTCACAGTGTGATCAAACTTCCCACAACATTTTCCCCTTTTTGTCTAAATAAAAAGGAAAGTGTTTTTTTGTTGTTGTTGTTTTCCTCTGGTATAGTAAAACTATATACAATAAAGACAATTATCAGGTAAGAATTACATTCACAATAACCAGTCCACATGTATTTGGCAAATTTGAAGAAAGTACTGTATTATCTATTCTATCTTAGAATTTTATATCTAAACCAGTTTTTATCACAACTTATATTACCATCCTAAAGACATCTTTTTTAGAACTCAAAACATCTTATTAGATAAACAACTTAAGCTTTTATGTCTCTTAATCTTGTAAGCTTTACATCTCTTTTATGAGTTTTCTTTTCTGAACTTGGTAACAAGGAAACTGTAATTATAACTATCTAATCGTCAACCCCATCAGAGACTCAAGAAGGATATAGTATTACCTGAGTAAACAGGAAGTGCAGAGCAAACAACTTCCAAAACTATAGAAATGATAGAGGCATCTCATTGACTGGACAGTCACCCAAGGTTCCTCCGTAGCATTTGGTCATCCGTCTTTAGCCTAAGGCCTACAATATCTGACAGACTTTTTTTTGTGAAACAGGAACTTTGAAAGACTATTCTACCTTGTCTTGACAAACTTCAGCAGTCACCTTCTTTTGTGTCCTGCTTGTCAAATTTAGATAGCATACTATCAGCAGTTGAGGCAAGGGCAGTTTTCTTGCCCAGTAGCTACCTTTGCCACATAGAAAGAAAACTCCATATGGAGGTTCTTCAATGCCCAACATCCTTTTTTGAAGTAGATTGGTGCTGTCAGGAGCAGATGTATCTCACTGTCATGAAAAGCCTTATGTTATTAAAAATACTTTTAAATGTCATGTTCTGTAGGTCTCTGAAGTGTTCGAAGACCACCTATCTATCTAAAAAAAATATTGGTTTAACCTTGAAAACTTAGCTAACATGAATATAAGTTTGATCATTTTAGTTAACTACTAACCTGTATTAATTATCCTAAGTAGTTTGTAATAATAGTTTTCAAGGGCTAGAACTTACATTTTAAATGAGCTGTATAGGTACAATACCTTAAACAAGAGTAGAAATATATGTACAATATGGTATAATAAAAAGAACCTTAAATTTATATCAATATACAAAAATACCTTAAACAAAAGTAGAAACATTTATACAGTATAACAAAGGTAACCTTAAATTTGTATCAATATACAAAAATCCACACCAATGTAAAATATTCAGAAGGTGCAATCAAGCTGTAAATCTGGAGGGAACTGCTCTTGGCCTCTGTCTTCTCTACCTGTTGAATCAGGTGCTGCATCAGCGTGCCTTGTGGTCCTAGGGCCCATGACTCTGCAAATATTGGAGTGTCGTATGCCAGGTCCTGTGGACTCAGGAGCTGACTGCCTTAGGAAGCCTTCAAAGCCCAGCACTGCTTTCTTCTCTACACATTGTTTCTTCTCAACAGAGGCTGACCAGCTCACTCATGTCTACCTTCTGTGCTCTGCCAGGCAGGAATTTTAAGAATTTTTAAAATAAAAATAAAGTTAGAACAAATTCTGCCTTGGGAGTTATGATTAAGGGTACACAGGAAAGCACTGAGGCCACACAGGTACTAATATTCTACTGAATATAAGTGCAAAGAGGCAGAGGGGAAAACGGTGGAAAGAAATGCTGTGCTTCCTGGCACAGGTTTCATAAACATGAAGGCAAAAATGAATTTGTATCTAAAAGAACAACTTAGAGGCTGGAGGTGTAGCTCAGTTGGCAGAGTGCTTACCTGGTATGCCCAGGGTCCTGGGTTTGATCCCCAGCTCTCTATGAACCAGATATTGTGGTGCAGGCCTGGGATCCCAGCTCTGGAGAGGTGGAGGAAGGAGGATCAGAAGTTCTATGTCAACCTCAGCTGTGTAGTGAGTTTGAGGTCGCCTGGACCATGTGAGAACCTATCTCAAAAACGATAGAAGTTCATCTTTATGTTCCCAGGTTGTCTATGCCTTCATGATAACCATGAAAACTGCATGTTTGATACATGTGTTACTGCTCCCCATGGTTTAGCAGCAAAGTGCTGGTCTACTTTCATCTTACCTGAGGAACCTGAGGATAATCCATGTTCGTTCCTATTTCACATTTAGGGAGGGGTGAGCGTGACTCCCCACCCCTACCATGGCTGATATAATGAGTTCCTTGTGCCTAGAAATAAATGTATGCTGGGGGAAGTCATTAGACTGGGATATTTTTAGAAAAAATGGGTACAGGTAGTTCAGCTGTTACATTCTGTAATCTTTCTTAGACTTCTTTTCTTTCTTCACCCTTATCCTTCTTTGCACAATTACAATTTAGGGAATGCCTGGAGGTAAGACTTGCTTTCAAATCCCTGCTCTGCCATTCATTCACTAAACAGATCAAATTACTCAATGTCAAGTTTCTCAGTCAGAGTCCTCCACTTCTCTGAGTCTGGATCGTTTTCTGGTGCAGCCTGTCTTAATGACTGAGTAAGTCTCTGGCCGTGAGACATCACCTGTCCCTTCACCACAACTTGGGGGTGGTGAGAGAGGGAGGCAGCAGGGGTGGGGTAGGGGACTCACAGTTAAGAGGATGTAGGTCCAACACTATGATCACATGGCATCCGGCAGTTCCGTGGAGGCAGGAGTATTTAGCGGGACCTCCGCCCTTCTGGGCAGACTAGAAAACAGATGGGACACAGGCTAAGCTGTAAACCCCTAGACCCATCCCCTTCCTCCAATGAGGTCTCCCATCCCCCCAAGTAGCAACCATACCTAAGGACCAAGTGTTCAAAGAGGAACCTGTTGGGAGCATTTTCTACCCAAACTGTTATAGCCCTTGTTAGTGCAATTGTCTTTTGATGCCCCCAAAGTCTGAAAGCCTTTGGATAAATTCCAAGGAGGAGTCTACACAGCTGACATTTTAAGGAACAACCCAAGAAACTCCTCCCTGTGTCTGGTTCCACCTTCATCCTGACAGCCAGGTCTATGCTGTGGAACTCAAAGTTTCTTCCCACCATAACGTCAACAGGGTGAGTCTCAAGTCAGCTCTTTGTATTCTGCTGTAGACCTGACTGCTCTTCTCTCAAGAGGTCTCAGTTTAGTTTGTCCTGGAAGCTTGTTTATTGCCTATGTCAAGCTGTGAAAATATTACGGGCTTTCTTTGTTTGATAGTAAGAGTTTTACTGTGTAGCTCCAGCTGGCCTGGAAATCAGGCTGGCGTAGAAGTCACGAAGAATCTGTCTTCCTCTGCTTCCTAAGTGTTATGATAAAGAGAGGGGGGAACCTTGGGGTATTTCATGGCAGTTGAGGGTGACTGAGGTGGGGGACAAACATACCAGGTAGACAGCGCTTAGTGATAAGTTTTATTAGAAAGGGAAAGCGGAGGAAGGAAAGAGAAAAGAGGGAAAAAGACACAGACAGAGAGAACAGAAGGGAAGAGGGAGACAGGAAAAGTCCTGTCTGCCCCAAGGGAACCGTGGGAAAGAGAAAGGAAAAGAGAGAGAGTGTAAGTGGGCAGGGGTCTTTCTTTTAAAGGGGTCCTTTGCACCCGAGTGCAGACTGGTAGTCATGGAACCCTGGGCTGACCAGGGTACTGCCTGAGTGCATTCAGGTGACAGGGGCAGGCCAGCATAATGCCTGAATCTTTACACTAAATGCAGAGACAAAAGGTAGCATGTATACCATGTCCATCCCCTGGAAAAGCTTTGAAAGCACTTTTCAGCCAAGAACAAGTTTTTTTTATTGTTGCTTTTATTGTTGTTGTTGTTTGTTTTTTAGAAGGAACTATATTTTGCCAAGGTAAAATAATTTTCTTTAAACACAGCAATGTAATAATATTAAAGTATTCACTATCATTAATTATAAATAACTAGGAAACATAATTTCACTTTTCTTCTAACTTCTTTTTAAATTGAAAGCAGTTGGGTTAGGAACACAATATACTATCTCAGCCACCCAGAGCTGACAAGGCAGTCTGAACATAGACAGGAATTCACAGGGCATGGACTCCTTTATTTCTTTTGCTGTTTCAGACAGGGATTCTAGTAACCTGGGGTGACCTTGAACTTGCTACATAGCTGAGGCTGATCTTGAATAGCTGATCTTAACTCTGCCTCCCAAATGCTGGGATTACAGGTATTCACCAACACATGGCTCTTAATTTGTTTAAATTTTACTCTGACATAAAGCTGTAGGAGATGCTAAACCTTCTAAAAAAGGAAGGAACAAGACAAAATAAGTAGAAGGCAGGTATTCCCAGAAAAATTTAACAGGGAGGTCAGGGAAGAAAATAAGAATTAATAACAATGTGAACCAGGTACCATGGCACACACCATTGACTCCAGAACTCTAGAGGCAGAGCCAGACTGACCTTGTGAGTTCCAGGCCAGCCTGATCTGCTAGCTGAGTTCCAGATCACCCAGGGCTACACAGTGACCTCATCTCAAACAAAACAAGAAACAAAGGGAGAGCTGGGTAAGAGCAGTTGTTCACCTGTGAGGACCTGAGTTCAAACTCTCAGATACCACAGTAACAGCCAGACTTGTGGTTCTATAACCCCTGTACTGTGAGGGGTAGAGACAAGAGGTTAAACAGGGCTTGGAGGCTGCCAGCTTTGCTCCCAAGTTTGCTGAGAAACCTGTCTCAAGGCGATAAAGCAGAATGAAATAGAGTAGGACACTGGACATCCTCTGCCTCAACACCACACAGACCACACATACATGCACCCCACACTAGTCATGCGCACACACTTTTTTTTTAAATTAAAGTTGAAAAACCAAAATGGGGAGAGACAAAGAGTAGTACAGAGAACATTTATATTCGAGGGATTAACTGTCTTAATACCAATGTTATTATTACTTTCTAGTAGCCATCTGTTAGGCTCATGACTCTTTAGAAAAAAAATTCTTGAATCTGGTTTTCAATCTTTGTGATTCTAAAATTAGCTATGCATTTATTTCAAACTTGTACAAGCACAAGTGAGAAACTTATAAAGAAGCAAGGTCATTGTTTTTCTAGTATAGAGTGTTTTCTCTAAATCCAAAAAGTGTTTCTCTTTCAGCTATTATTTCTTATTAAAGATTGCTAGCCAGCCATGAACAGCAAGTGGCCATTAGCTGTCACTGACTTCCTTAGTATCTGGGAGAGTTGACCACCAACCATGAAGACATTTAACTGTTAAGATGGAGGGAGGAATGGGTGTGTTGGGGGGGCAAAAGGGACCCCTTCCTGAGAGTGAGGGTAAATTTAATGGGAAAACCTTTTCCTAAATTAATTTGTATTTTAATTGAAATATAAAGACACAAAATACATATGAATGACACACTACATGATACATTGATACACACACTCACATACCTGTATAATCAATTTAAATACATCTCAAATGCTTATCCCTTCTCTATGGCATAAAACAAAAACAAAAACAAACCCCTCACAAAACCCAAGCATTTAAATATTTCCTTCTGCCACATAATCACTGTCACTCCCCACCACCATTCATGCTCGTGTGTGTGTGTGTGTGTGTGTGTGTGTGTGTGTGCGCGCGCGCATGCGTGCTCATTCGACCTTTAAATTCTCTACACTTGAGCAGCAAGGCCACGGTGCCTGGCCAATTTCACTTCTTATAACCATCCACAGTTCATCCCTATTGTCCCAGACAGCAGTCCATTCCCTGTTCTCGGTGACCAGCATTCTGCTGTGTATGGACCCACTATGTTCTCTCCACCCATTTGTCAGCTGAGCCCTTGGGTTGTTTCCATAGCTCAGCTATTGTAAATAGTGCTGCAATAACTTGAAGAATGGATGTTGCTTTGCCACTCTGACTCCATTTCTGAGAACACACATGTACCCAGCAGCAGTATTGCTGAATCACACTGTAAATCCATGTTTTTAAGAGAGGACAGGGGTTAGGTGGAGCTCAGTGGTGGAACACTCTGCTAACATGGGCAAAGCCCTGGGTTCAACCCCTAGTACCTGCAGAATCTCCATGTTAAGACAGCAAATACACAGTCACCAAACAGATTTACTCTTAAATGACCAGTGTGAACAGATTTACTTACAGGCAGCCAGTGTGGACAGATTTACTTTTAAACGGCCAAAAGCTTGGCAGCAAGCACCATGACCTGCTGAGCACCACAGGCTTGCTTTTGGCTTTTTAAGGAGTCTGTCTTGCAGGAGTGGGGTGGGTTTTGTTTGTTACTTTGCTTGTTTATTTTGAGGCAGGATCTCACGTAGCACAGGTTTCATAATCCTCCTGCCTCCACATTTCTAGTGATGGTGTGGGCCAGCATACCTAGCTTACACTGTGGTTATGACTTGCATTTTCCCAGTGATTAGCAGTGGTGGACATTTTCATCTAACCACTGGTCATCGGCATACCTTCTTTTGAGAAACGTCTGTTAGGCCATTCTTAGATTATTTGTTTTTCCATTAAGATGTTTAAGTTCCTAATATATTCTGAACATTTGCCCCGGTGAGATGTTTTCTTGGCAATTTTCTCCTCCCATTAGTAAGTTGTCTCTACATTCTGCTGATTCTTTTCTTTGATGCAAAGATATACAAAGTTTTGATGGAATACATTTGTCTGTATTTGTTTTTGTTCCCTGTACTCTAGAGAATCTTGTGTAAACAGCCTTGGAAATCCCAGAGTCCTCAACTGTCTTGGTGTGTTGTTGTTATTTTATGGACACCGTGTCTTGAAGCTTTGCTGGATTTGTTTATTCTAATAGTTTCTTTGGGGTTCAGGGATCTGTCTTTAGGGTAGGGGGGGTCTGTCTTTAGGTTGGGGGTCTGTCTTTGGGGTGGGGGAATCTATCTTTAGGATGTGAGGTCTTTCTTGGGGGTGGGGGGTGTTTGGGGTTTCTATATAGAAGATCACATCATAGAGCTGGGTGTCCTTCAATCTTAGCAGCTGGAGGCAGAGGCAGGCAGCTCTCTGTTAAGTTAGAGGCCAGTCAGGGTGACATAAGAAAGAACCTGGTCCAAAAAGATTACATCACATGCAAACAACTTAACTTCCTTTCTTGCTTGGATTTCTCTTCCTTCCTTGCTTCCTTCCTTGCTTCCTTCCTTCCTTTCTTTCTTCCTTCCTTCCGTTACCTTCCTTCCTTCCTTGTTTGCTTTGTCAAAGATGTCCAGTAACAAGGTTAATAAAAGCAGTGAATGTTGCCACCCACATCTTTGTTTAGGCCTGGAAACACCGGTTGGCAGCATTTCACTGTTGAGTATATCGCTAGCTCTTGCTTGGTGTGTGTGGCCTTTCTCATGTGGAGGCCTGATTTTTCTTATCCTAATTTGCTCAACATTTTTGTCACTGTTATCTTCATCAAATGTATTGTCAGTACCTATTGAGATGATCCTCTGACTTCCTCTGACTTTTCTCGTTCATTGTGTTCATAAGCCATACCACATTTATTGATTTGCATATGTTGGTCACTGAGAACCATTTTTTTTTTTTTTTGGTTTTATGAGACAGGGTTTCTCTGTATTGTTTTGGAGGCTGTGGTCCAGTCCGGCCTCAAACTCACAGAGATCTGCCTGCCTCTGCCTCCCGAGTGCTGGGATTAAAGGTGTGTGCCACCACTGCCCAGCGAGAACCATCTTTTTAATGTGCCATTGGTATTACTTCACTGGCAAGTTTGTATCAGTACTGATCAAAGATACTGGTTTGCCATTTTCATTCATTTGGTGCTCTTATCTGGGTTCTGTGTCAAAGTTTTGTTTGTTTCATAGAACATGTTCTTCAAGTTTTTTTTTCTAATAATGTGAAACTGGTATCATACTCAGTAGTACAGCTGTCTTTGGTATATGCTATTTTTAAATTACTAATTCAGTCTCATTACCTGTTACTAATTATTAGATTATTTCTTTCTCCTCCCTCCCCCATCCACACACCCTACACAGGGCTTCTCTGGGTAGCCCTGGCTATCCTGAACCTCTCTCTCTGCAGACCAGGCTAGCCTCAAATTCAGAGATCCACCTGCCTCTGCCTTTAGGGTCCTAGGATTAAAGGCTAATTATTAGTTTCTTAATGACTCAATCTTGGTAAATTATATATATATCTAGGAGTTTATCCATTTCTTCTAGATTGTAAAATTTGTTGGAATATAATTGTTCTTAATGTTCTCTAATTCTGTAGTATCAGTTGTAATGTCTCCATTTTCATCACAAGTTTTGTATCCTTACCTCAACCCCTCCCCCACACTGTACGTGAGTATTATCAAGTCCCCATACTTGTTCTCCAGCTGAGCTCTATCCCCAGCCTCCCTTTCTCTTACTCTGGCCTAGGGTTCCACAGACCTGCTTACCTATTGGAAGAACCAGCTCTTCTTTCGTCTTCTTGAAGTCTGTGTTTCATGTATTTCTTTCTGACCTTTATTTTTTTCCTTTACTAATTCTGATTTTGTTTTGATATGTTTTAGTT